CCCCCCCGTCTTTCTGCCCTGAGACTGCTTCCCTCTGGTCCTTCCCCATACCCCGCCTTGCCCCCCACATCCATTCCCTGTTTCCTTCCCTCCGGCGTCCTTTCGTTGACCCCTTCTCCATCCCCCCTCCCGCATTGTTTCTCCCATTCTAAGGGGAATGCCCTTCTCTCCGCCACCACTGCTGCACTGGGCCGTTTATGTTGGGGGGGGGATCTCAGCCTGGGGGGCATGGCCCGCAAAGCGATGTCAAGGGGTCACAAGCACCCTCCTCAGCTCCTCTCTGCATGGGGTGCTGGGTGTGGGTGTAGTCTGGAGGGGGGAGTCCAACGACGCTGATGGTCCGGGGATGGAAAAGGCAGAGACCCACCATTCTGCGGAGCGCCTTCTGCTTGACCTGGGTGTAAGGGACATCAAAATGGGACCACCCGGAACTCCCTGTGCCAACCCCGCAGCTGGTGGAAATCAGAGTTGCTCCATTGCTTTACCCCAGCTGAGGCACTGGAGGTGGAGCTGATGAGGGGCACAGGCTGGGCCCTGGGACTCATCCGCACTGTAGCCCATCCGTGTGGACACCTCTTCTCCCAGTTCGGCATCGCCCTCCCTGATCCCACTGGGAGTGTGTAGGGGGGAAGGGGATGTGCTAGGAGGTCCACGAATGGCTTTCAGTCCTCTCCGGCATTCTGGATCAGCTTGGTGCCAGCTTGCCTGACCTTGGGTCTCTTTTGTTCCAGCTCTGACAGTCCGATTCCTCACCCGGAGGTTTATTGGTGAATACGGGGATATTGGTGAGTTTCTTTTCTTTTTCTCTTTTTTTCTTTTCTCTTTTCTTTCCTTTCTCTAAGTTCACTCTCTCTTAATGTCTCCCTCTTTTTTTTCCTCTCTCCCCTCCAGAATCCATTTACACCCACAACGTGATGGTCGGGGGCCGAGAGGTTTGCTTCAGCATCTGGGACTCTGTCTGCCCCCAGGTGAGAAATTGCTGCCTGTGGCTTCCAACCAGCCAAATGGCTTTGGGAACAGATTGGATGGAGCGAGTTTGTTGAGACTCGGATCAGCTCCTAGCAGGACATGCGTCCTCCTAGGAGATGGAGCCATGGCAGCTCATAGGCAAAGACACTTGTTTCGGTTCTGAAGGGCCTATAGGAAAGCCCTCCGCCCTCAGTGTGCTGTCGTATGCCCACGATAAAGATAGCAGCCTTGGCTTCCAGTCCACCCAAGGCTGAGAAATGGCACCCAATTCCTTTAATAATGGGTTTGCTTTTCGAAGGAGGGAGGCTGAATAAAAACCAAGGGTGAGGATGAGAACACTGCTGCCATAGACCTGACTCTCCCCAATGCCCTGGCACTACTTCTCATCCAGTAGTGACCAATGTCAGGCACTCTTCAGCACCTCCATGTGCCCACAACAAAGATGGCTGCTTCAGCTCTTCCTCAGTAATGGTTAGATACCCCCACCCAGGCTGGTCAGTTGTGCCATATGAGGGAAAATCTTTTCTGACCACTCCCAGGCCCCTTCCTTCCCAGCTGGGATGGGGCAAGAGAAGGCGGGGTGTGTGTGTGTGTGTGTGTGTGTGTGTGTGTGTGTGTGTGTGTGTGTGTGTGTGTGTCTGTGATCCGATCACCATAGTGACTGTGGAGTGATTGGCAATCACCTCTTTGCCCCCCGCTAATTCCTGGTTTTTTTTATTCCTGCTCCCTATCCTCTCCCCCACCTGCTCTCCAGGGCTCTGAGCTCCAGGGCTGGGTGAGCGAGAAGCAGCTGCGTTGGGCCGACGGCTTTGTCCTGGTCTACAGCATCTGTGACCGCTCCAGTTTCCACCTGGCCCGGCAGCAGCTCCAGCGCATCCGGCAGCTGAAGAGACGGGGCAGTTCGGAGAAAGCGCCCGTCATCCTGGTGGGCAACCCTGCAGCGTCGGCGGGCCGTCTCCAGCGAGGAAGGGCGGCTTTTGGCCCTCTCCATGAACACGGGTTTCTTCGAGGTCTCGGCCGCCGAGACCTACCAGGGTGCCCTGGTGGTCTTCCACGAACTCCTCGACATGGTGCGGGACTCGCGGAGCTCGGGCAAGAAGGCTCCGTGGCATTGTGCGGAGCATGTCGGCCGTCTTCGGGAGGAGGAGGACAGAATGAGCGAGGCGGGGTCCCGCGAGGAGAGCTTGGATCCTAGGGACAACGGAACGTAGCTGGAAGCATGCGCCAGCGGTCAGGCTGTGGGCGGTTCCTCGGTGTGGCACCCGCTGAGTCCCTCGGAGAGCGTACGACAGAGGTGGCAGCCAATGGGGGAGCATTTCTGTGCACGTGTCCCGAGTCTGATCTGATGGGAGCTTTGGCTGGGGTCTGCTGGCGTCTAGAGAGCTCGGCCATCTGCCAAAGGGCTGCCTTCCCCTCCCAGCACGGCATGTCACAGCCTCCGCCCTGGGCAGCAGTGTTACTCGTTAGCGATGTAATTGGGTGGCAGTTACATCCCGCCTCCCTCCCCGTGCCCGCTGTTCGTTTCCACTGGAGGAAGGATTCTCTGCATGCCCCTTCCTAACGTTTGTGATTCGTGGCTGTTAAAGAGCAGCTGCGCTCTGCCCCAGAAGAGGGTGCATTTGAAAGGGTGGGCGAACGAACTATGTTTACAGGGAACCAGATTTGTCAAGTGGATATTAGGTGCCCAATTGTCCCCCGACCGCTGTGCCTTGTGGAAGCATTCACACCCAGCGCAGAGAGGACATGCAAGGCTAACAACCCTGAATGGCTGCATTTTACAGGCCAAAATCCCTGCAAGAGGACGATTACACTGTTCCCTGGAAGTGCGTCGGATTTGGAACATAAGGCACAAGGCAGTGGAGAATGACACCCAGAGCCCATGTTTGGATGATACAGTCTGTATATGGGGCCTGAGCCTGAATTCAGGCTCAAGTCCCATTGGAGTCAGAGGCCACGGTGATGGGCAAGGTACAAAAAACCTTTGAGGCTCAAGCATCGAGCCTGCTCAGTCAAAGGAATGACTGGCTGCAGCACCTACAAGCTTGAAGCACAACATTTATGCACTTTTAAGGGTCCCCCCATTTGAAAACCGGGCTCTAAATCCTCTGGTACTAGGGAGATGATTACAAATGTTGGTGATTAAATCATGGGACTCGCGGGAGTTTGAGTTATTCACACCACCCCATTGGGTTGCCTTGTTTTTTCTGCTGGGTTCCAAATTACTTTTCCTGCTAAAAGTGATCTGATCTCAATTCGGTTGGTGTGAACCCATGGACTTTAATGGAGTCACTCTGGATTTACACTTGCTGTAACTGAAGCAGAATCTAAGGCATTGTGCAACTCGTCAGTTACACCAGTGTAAATCCACAGTCACTCCACTCCAGTCATTCTGAATTTACATCCATGTAACTGACAGAGGAATTTGGCCCTTTTAATGTGCCTGGTTAAGCAACAACAGTGGCATTTGTCATCCTCTGCAGCACGGGCTAGTGATAGAAATAGGGCTGAGGACTTCAGGATTGAACTCCTAGTTCTGTCACTGATTTGCTGTGTGACCTTGGGCAAATGAGAGCCTTCCCCATGCCTCAGTTTCCTCCTCTGTAAGATGGGGGTGATAATGCCTACCTCACAGTTTGTGAGGGTGTGAGGCTTCCTCACTTGCAAAATAAACTTGATCCCCCCCCTCCAAAGCCAAATTCTCCACTTGGAATATTAGAACCATAGTGTTGCTGATAGACAGGACTTCCACTATTTAAAGGCGGGTCAGTTTAAATGCTGCCTGTTCCAGGGGGAGTGGAAGATGGAATTGTCTTCAGCAGCTGGGATATAAATCCTCCCAACTAAAATGTGAAATGTTGTATATTTGTGAATAACATAAATATTTAACTTATTTGGGAGCGTTCTGCATTGGCGCGAATGTTTACATCCAGAAATTTTTATTGTCAAAATATTCTCTTTGCACGTTATAAAAGAAAGATGTGATGGTGGAAAAATTATTTTTGGATGGGCAATAAAAGTTTGTATGTTCTAAAAGAAAATAGTTCCGTGCTTTCATTATAAGACACTTTTCCCTTGGAGGAAGGATTCAAAGGTGTTGGATTCCATGTCTGGGTGTGTGTGTGTGTGTGTGTGTGTGATTTCTAAGTAATGAACTGACAATAGAGAGGTGGAGACACTCATCTGTTACCTGTAGTGGATAGAAAACCAGACGGCGACTCAGGAGACCTGGATTCTACTCTGCTGCTGGGTGAGCTATGGCAAGTCTCAGCCCGGCTGTGTGCCTCAGTTTCCCCATCTAAAGTGAGGACAATGATCTCCTTTGAAAACTGCTTTGAGGCCTGCTGATTATAAGAGCAAGTGGTTATTATTGTGTTAACCTTTCCCATACTGAAAAGCCAAGGGGGTAAGCAGTGAATTATTGTTTTGTTAAAATGTCTCCTTTCACATTAGGTAAAGTATCTCAAAAATATATCTTGGCATTGGAAAAACTTCAGAAAAGGGCAACGACAGTGATTATGGGTGTAGAACAGCTGCCATATGAGGAGAGATATATAATAATGGGACTTCATCTTAAAAAAGAGACAACAGGGGTGGGATAGGATAGAGGTCTATAAAATCATGACCGGTGTGGAGAAAGTAAATAAGTTATTTACTCCTTCCCATAACCAAGAACTAAAGATCACCAAATGAAATTGTTAGCAGGTTTAAAACAAACAAAAGGCAGTATTTCTTCAGACAAGGCATGGTTAACCTGTGGAACTCCTTGCCAGAGGATGTTGTGAAGTCCAAACCATAACAGGGTTCAAAAAAGAGCTAGATAAATTTATGAAGAATAGGTCTTCCAATGGATATTAGCCAAGGTGGGCAGGAACAGTGTCCCTAACCTCCGTTTGTCAGAGGTTGGGAATGGGCAACAAGGAACCGATTAAGGACTAGTCGAGTAGTTGCTCCCTCCCCTTTACTACTTCAAAGTGGCAGTGCTGCACAGCTGATCCCGGGCTCTGTGTGGCACTGCTCCTTTGAAACACAGCCGTGGTTTCAAAGCAGCAGCTCCGTGTGGATCCCAGGGTCAGCTGGGTACTCCCTAGCTGTCCCTGGGCTCCATGCAGCATTTCTGTGGTACGTGGAGTCAGCTGGGGAGTCCCAAGCTGACCCAGGCTCCACAGGTATTTCAAAACAGCAGCGCCACATTGTGGCCGGGGTCAGTGGGAGACACTGAGTCCCCTGCTGACTCACATTGTGGCCGGGGTCAGTGGGAGACTCTGAGTCTCCTGCTGACTCCACGCGGGCGCTTCTGCTTTGAAATGCACAAGAGCCTCTGCTGGGGACTCGTGGACGTTTCAAAGGAGGAATGCGGAAGTGCCTGTCGAAGTCGATGGAATTTCCATCGACAACATGACTCATAAATTAACCGATATTAAACACCCTTAGAATGACTTGATTGCCTGCTCTGTTCATTCCCTCTGGGGCACCTGGGATTGGCCACGGTCGGCAGACAGGACCCTGGGCTACATGGACCTTTGGTCTGACCCGGTCTGGCCGTTCTTACGAATGGAGGGGCAGGTCCACTCAGCAGTCGGGGGAGGCTTGGCCTGAAGTCAGGGCAGAAGGCCACAGCACAATGCTGGGTGGTTGTGAGCTGTGAAAAGTGGCCGAGCATCTAAACATCACAAGGGGGGTTTGGGCAGAGTAAGGGCATTCCGGGGTCTGCTACCTACATCCAGGAGGGAGTGGGGGGTCTAGTGGGTTAGAACAGGGGAGTGGGAGGCAGGACTTCTGGGTTCTCTCCCCGGGACTGACCTCACTTGCCCAGGTGGCTCACAGCAGTCAGTTATCCCTTGTCCTCCCTGCACCCGGTGGAACCATGCAGCGAAGCACTCACGGGTCGCAGAGAAGCACTCACAGGTCCCAGACCCTGTCCAGAGGGAGCAGGCTGAGTTGCAGCCCCCCCAGAAAGTGGGGGTGGAATCTACGCAGCGCTTGGCAGTGCCCTGCCACAAGGCAGAAGCGGTGGCCGGGGAGCAGGCAGTGGTGGGAAGCGGCGCTTCTATTTGCGGAGCTGCGTGGAGCATGGAATCGGTGCCCACGGGCCGTGACAGCCACCATCCACGTGTTCGGGGATCCACAGATGGGCATCTGGCAGCAGGCTGGGGAAACAGGCTGCCTGTGGCCGCCCACAACATTGATTCAGGTTAGAAAAAAATCTGTGGGGTAAATTCCAGAGTGATGTAAACGACACATGGGGCCCAATCCTCAGTCACCATGAACAGGGTGAGAGGGGTAGACCTTAAATGCTTTATTCTGCCCAGCCTCCAGTGTAAATCCGAGCAGCCTTGGGATCAGCTGCTGCCCCACCTTCCACCCTGTGCAGTGTCTGCTGGCTGCAGGGTGTGAGGGAAGGGAGAGGTGGGGCCCAATTCGCACCTCAAGGTGGGGTAAGTCAGGGGACCAGGCCCCCAACCCAGCATGATTGGGAATGGCAGGTTATTCGAGACAGGTGTGCGTGTAGACGCCCCCCCCCGGTCCCATGGCCAGATCCTTTCCTTGCTGTTTAAAGACAGCCCGGGACGGAGCTGCAAGATGCTTACAGCAGGAGAACGCAAGTGCCTAGCTCTGGGAGGAACGTGTTCGAGTGATTTAAGGGGCAATGGGCAGGGCTGAGAGGCAGGATCCTGGGTTCTATTCCTAGCTCTGGGAAGAGAGTGAGGTCTAGTGATTAGAACCAGGGAAATGGGAGACGAAAGATACCTGGGTTCCTTTCTCAATGCTGAGGTGGGGTGTGTCATCTAGGAGTGGGTGTGAGGAGTTATGGGCTCTATTCCCAGCTCTGCCACTAATGTGACTGGTAGCTGCTTGGTGCCTCAGTTTCCCCATTGGTAAAGTGGAGGATAAAACCTGAGAGTCGGGGCAAGAACCAAGTTTTGCTGTTCCTCAGCAACTGGCAGAGGTGGGGGATACAGCCCCGGCTCCAGCAAACATGGCCGGGGCACTGGGTTTATGGTATTTATTTATCACTAGAAGATTGACGCCCACGTGGCTCGGGTCCTTAACTCAATTAATTTTTGGAAAACAAAATGACAATGTCCAGGCATCATTTAAATCATTGCTCCGGAGCGGGGCTGGGGATGAGGGGGTCAGTTTGCTGGCTGCTCCGGGGAGAGAGGACAACCCCAGCCCTCACGCACTGCAGGGGGTTTATGGTATTTATTTATCACTAGAAGATTGACGCCCACGTGGCTCGGGTCCTTAACTCAATTAATTTTTGGAAAACAAAATGACAATGTCCAGGCATCATTTAAATCATTGCTCCGGAGCGGGGCTGGGGATGAGGGGGTCAGTTTGCTGGCTGCTCCGGGGAGAGAGGACAACCCCAGCCCTCACGCACTGCAGGAGCTTGGAGCCAGGTGAGAAGCGCCTCTCCATGGCCGCTGCAGCTCCAGGGGGCACAGCCGGGGG